AATCTCCATTGGAAAACAACTCCTAGTGTCTTTGGAAGAAGGACCTATGGTTAGTAATTTCTGTTTACTAATCTTGGTTTGATGTGCCTAATAGCCACTTTGGTTGTGTTTGCATAATAATTATGGTCCTATTCATGATTGAGCTAAGTCTTTTTGCATCCTGAAGGTAACTACATGGGACAGTGATTATGTTGATTAAATTCTTACTTCATTGGACTTGTTTTTACTTTTGCATGGTGTATAACTGCCATTTGGTCATATGGTTTTCCAGTGATATAAGAAAAACATGTAATTTTGGCCATGGAGAATTAAGTCTTCGGGGGTCTATGAGAAATAAGAATAGAAAAGACAAACTATGGGGGCGCCTGGGTGGCTCAGTCAGTTAGGCATCTGCCTTTGGCTCAGGTCATGATCCCAGCGTCCTGTGATCGAGCCCCACATCGGGCTCCGTGCTCAACAGAGAGCCTGCTACTCCCTCTCCCTCTGCCTGCCTGCCTGTCTGCCTATCTCTCTCAAATAAATAAATAAAATCTTAAAAAAAAGAAAAGACAAACTATGACATATGCTCAATTGCTTATTTTGAATCTTTATGCAGTTCAGTCTTTTGATTTTAATGAATCCAGAATAATATAGAATTCCATTTGAAGAATAGTAGAGGAAGATGCACTGAGCCTTGATATTAACATAGTAGCTTTGGTCTTTAGAGCAGTGACTTTATATTTTTGGCAAAGATAATTTGTGACAATCTACAAAGTTCCTAAAATTTAACCTCTCAAAAGACAAATCCTTACTTGAACTCCCAACTACCAAAAATATTGAGTTTTCTAAATTTCCTTCTAAATGACATTGATTTTGCCCATTCACCATTTCCTAACTAAGGTTTAGATCTTCTTAGAGAAGAAATGAAACTATCACCAGAGGAAAGAAATAGTGTAACTTATTTAAAATAAAATGGTAAGATAAACTCTTTGCAAGTATAATGAGCAAGTTTCCTGATTCAATGTTCTGTCTTGGCTCAGGTTTATACTCTTTGGATTAACTATTCTTCCATTGGATTCTCACTCATAATAATAATAACTTTGTGACTGAATAAATCCCAACTGCTTTGAATTATCCCTTGAATGGCCATATGTTCCTGGGTTCATATTTCTGTCTGTTACATTGGATGACATAAATTTTTCTCCAAACTCACATATGTCCCTGGATTCCATATAGGGGGAACCAAGACTTCCACGACCATGCTGAAACTGTCCAAATCCTGACTCAGACTGCCCATGATTTCCACTCTGCCCCTGAAGAGGCCCTGATTGTCTAGAGATATCTACAGAGTGTCCATGACTAGATCCTTGTCTCCTTCCAGTACCGGTGTCTGAGTGTCCATGACCAGACTCAGACTGTCCATGATTATTGTTTCTCTGCCCTTGACGAGACTCAGAGTGTCTAGAACTGTCTCCTACATGGCCATGGGCAGATCCATGTTGGTTTCCTGAGCCAGATCCAGTTTGGCTCTCAGAATCTTCAGTGTGCCCTTCGCTATCACTGTCCTGACTAATACTGGACCCCCGGTTTCTCACCGGCCTGAATTCAGATGACGATTGTCCATGCCCAGACTGCGATTGTCTAGAGCCATGTGCCCGAGTGGATGATTGCTGGTGGTGAGATCCTGAGTCAGAGTGCCCACCATCGGCTGCCTGACCCTCATGGGATCCTGCATGTCTAGAGTTGTCATGTGCCTGCTCATGGCGGGATCCTTGTCTCCCCCTGGCACTGGATTGAGACTGTCCATGGACAGAATCAAACTGTTCTTGGGAGGATATCTGGTAGAAGTGATCCCCTGAGTGCTCAGGACTGCCATGTGCACTGCCATGTTGTCTCCTTTGCCTGGACCTGGACCGTTCCTGGACTGAGCCTGACTGAGTATCTGAGTCTTCTGATTGTCCTTCAGCGTCACTGGACTGACTGATACTGGATCCCTGGTGTCTGCTGTTATCAGATCCAGAAGAGGTTTGTCCATGTCCAGTTTCCCAGTGTCTGGCGCTATCCTGTGACTGCTCATGGTGGCGCCCTTGTCTTTCCCTGGTGGTGGATCCTGAGTCTCGGTGGGCAGAGTCAGACTGCCAGTGAATGGCTGTCTGTCCTTGATGGGTCCCGGAGTTTCTGGATCTTTCTCCTGACTGCTCAGGGTGGTGCCCTTGTCTTTCCGTGGTGCTGGATCCTGAGTCTCGGTGGGCTGAGTCAGACTGCCCTTGGGTGTCTGTCTGCCCTTGATGGGACCCTGGGTGTCTGGGTATGTCTCCTGATTGCTCGGGGTGGCGCCCTTGTCTTTCCCTGGTGTTGGATCCTGAGTCTCGGTGGGTTGAGTCAGACTGCCTATGGGAACCTGCCTGTCCTTGATGGGTTCCTGAGTGTCTGGATCTGTCTCCTGTCTGCTCAGGGTGGCGCCCTTGTCTTTCCCTGGTGTTGGATCCTGAGTCCCGGTGGGTTGAGTCAGACTGCCTACGGGTGCCTGTCTGCCCTTGATGGGACCCTGGGTGTCTGGATATGTCTCCTGATTGCTCAGGGTGGCGTCCTTGTCTTTCCCTGGGGCTGGATCCTGAGTCTCGGTGGGTTGAGTCAGACTGCCTATGGGTGCCTGCCTGACCTTGATGGGTCGTTGAGTCTCTGGATCTGTCTCCTGTCTGCTCAGGGTGGTGCCCTTGTCTTTCTCTGGTGCTGGATCCTGAGTCTTGGAGGGTTGAGCCAGACTGCTTATGGGTACCTGTCTGCCCTTGATGGGACCCTGGGTGTCTGGATCTGTCTCCTGATTGCTCAGGGTGGCGTCCTTGTCTTTCCCTGGGGCTGGATCCTGAGTCTTGGTGAGTTGAGTCAGACTGCCTATGGGTGCCTGCCTGTCCTTGATGGGTCGCTGAGTGTCTGGATCTGTCTCCTGTCTGCTCAGGGTGGTGCCCTTGTCTTTCTCTGGTGCTGGATCCTGAGTCTCGGTGGGTTGAGTCAGACTGCTTATGGGTTCCTGTCTGCCCTTGATGGGACCCTGGGTGTCTGGATCTGTCTCCTGATTGCTCAGGGTGGCGTCCTTGTCTTTCCCTGGTGCTGGATCCTGAGTCTTGGTGGGTTGAGTCAGACTGCCTATGGGTGCCTGCCTGTCCTTGATGGGTCCCTGGGTGTCTGGATCTGTCTCCTGTCTGCTCAGCGTGGTGCCCTTTTCTTTCTCTGGTGGTGGATGCTGAGTCTCGGTGGGCAGAGTCAGACTGCCTATGGGAGCCTGTCTGCCCTTGATGGGACCCTGGGTGTCTGGATCTTTCTCCTGATTGATCAGGGTGGTGCCCTTGTCTTTCCCTGGTGCTGGATCCTGAGTCTCGGTGGGCAGAGTCAGACTGCCCATGGAGAGCTGTCTGTCCTTGAAGGGTCCTGGATTGTCTGGATCTTTCTCCTGAGTGCTCAGGGTGGTGCCCTTGTCTTTCCGTGGTGCTGGATCCTGAGTCTCGGTGGGTTGAGTCAGACTGCCCTTGGGTGTCTGTTTGCCCTTGATTGGACCCTGGGTGTCTGGTTGTGTTTCCTGATTGCTCACGGTGGGGCCCTTGTCTTTCCCTGGTTCTGGATCCTGAGTCTCGGTGGGCAGAGTCAGACTGCCCATGGATAGCTGTCTGTCCTTGAAGGGTCCTGGATTGTCTGGATCTTTC